AAGGGGTCTTGCTATGTTGCCCAGGTTGGTCTCGAATTCCTAACCTCAAATGATCCTCCCACCACAGCCTCCCAAAGTGTTGGGATTACAGGCATGAGCCACCATGCCTGGCCATGTTCCAATCTCATAGATGAGACAATTAAGATGGTTAAAAGTCACAAAGCTGGGATTCAAAAACCAGGAAGTGAGTTCTCAAAAATACAACGTATTCTGTCTCCCACATTTATTTAAGTAAAAAACCAAATCGCTTGATGCTTCAGGAAAATTCAGTTATTTTATGTATTTCTATAGTGAAGATGAAGGAACTGATTTTACCTTATGACAAGATTCAATCATTTATTTTTCAGTTTACTAGGTTATTGCTATGTGCTGGGCACTATGCTAAACACTAGAAATAAAAATGGTAAGCAAGACAAGAGATTATAGGTGACTGGGTAAATAGAAAATTTTAAAGATACTAACAATACCCAGTTGATCCTCAAACAACAAGGGAGGGTTAGGTTGTTAGGGACACAGACCGCATCAAAAATCCTTGTGTAACTTTCAGCTCTCCCCAAATGTAACTACTAATAGTCCACTGTTGTCTGGAAGCCTGACAGCTGATCAACATATATTTTGCATGTTTTGTATGTGTTATATACTGTATTCTTACAATAAAGTAAGTTACAGAAAAGAAAATGTTACTAAAGCGGGGTGTGGTTGCTCACACCTGTAATCCAAGCACTTTGGGAGCCAGAGGCAGGAGGATCACTTGAGCTCAGGAGTTTGAGACCAGCCTGGGCAACGTAGGGAGACCCTCTCTCTACAAAATAAAAAATAAATTAAATTTAAAAAGAAAATGTTAAGAAAATCATAAGGAAGAGAAAATACATTTACTATTCATAAAATGGATCACTATAGTGTCTTTATCTTTGTAGCCCTCACACTGAAGAGGAGGAGGAGTTGTTAGTATTGCTGTCTCATCAGTGGTAGAGGCAGAAGAGGTCGGGAGGTGGAAGGGGAGGCAGGAGAGGCAGACACACTTGATGTAAGTTTACAGAAATACATAATAATTTCTGCCTTTTATCTTTTTCATATCTCTAAAAGCATTTCTATACAATACCAATCCTTTTTCCACCATTTACTTTAGTTTCAATGCCCATATCACCCACGTCGTAAAAGAATCCAAAGCAGTCTTGTATAATCGGAACCCTTCTGCCTGACAGTCTAATGTCCACCTGTTTTCTGGTACTGTTTCCTCTATATCTTCCTCACTGTCTGGCAGTGGTTAAGAAGCACTTATCTTCATCAAATCCTCTTCTGTTAATTCCTCTGGTGTGGCATCTATTAGCTCTTAAGATTTCTCCAAGATCCACATCTTAAAACCCTTCACCCACCACCTTTTCTGCCACATCCACAATCTCTTTCAGGACTTCCTTGACTGGCTCTGCACCAAATCCAGTGAAGTCATGCGCCAACACTGGACACAATTTTGCCCCCCCCGCTAGGGATTTATTGTTTCGACCTTGACGTCTTTCATGGCTTTTTCTGTAATAATAATGGCGTCTTCAACGATGTAATCCTTCCAGACATTCATGATGTCCTATATGGGTTCTCTTCCCTAGCAATCCTTTCCATAGAGTACGATATGTAAAGAGCCTCAAAGGTCCCTATGACCCCCCTGACCTGGAAGCTGAATTAGAGATGTGTTTAGGGGCAAGTACACTACTTCGATGCCTTCACTGTTGAATTCATGAGGCTCTGGGTGGCCAGGGGAATTGCCCAAAATTCAAAAGAACTTTAAAAGGTAGCCCCTTACTGACAATAGTACGCTGACTTCAGGGACAAAGCATCGATCAAACCAAACTAGAAAAAGGGTTCTCATTGCCCAGGCCATCTTGCTGTACAACTGAAAGACCGGAAGCTGGTGTTTATCTTTTCAAGACTCAGGGATTAGCAGGTTTATAGATATGGGCAGTCCTGATCATAAACCTGATTTATTTTTGAATAAAACAGTAGAGTTAGCCTATCCATGCCTTAAATGCTGGTGCTCACTTCTTTTCCTTACTAATAAATGTCCTTTATGGCATTTTCCCCTCCCAGAATAGGGTGCTTTCATCTGCATTAAAGACCTGTTCACACAGATGAACTTTCTCCTCAATGATTTTCTTAATGGCATCTGGGAACTCATCTGTTGCCTCTTGCTTAGCAGCTGTTTTTCCTGTTATCTTGACACTTTTTAAAGCCAAACCTTTTTCTTAAACTATCAAACCATCCTTTGCTGGTAATAAATTCTCCAGCTTTAGATCTTTCACTTTCCTCTTGCTTTAAGTTGTCATATACTGACTTTGCTTTTACTCAAATCATATTAGAGTTTATAGGTATGCCTTTCTCATAGTAATCCTGCACCCACATAAAAGCTGCAACTTCAACAGGTGATAAACAGATAATGTGCAAAAGGTGCAAGGTTTTTGTAACTGGTGGCATAGCTGCAGAGGTGGCTTCACCAATTTCCTTTACTTCTTTCCTTTCCCTGTACCCGACCCCCAATGATTTCACTTATCTTGAAATGGTGGTAACCACAACTGCAGAACCTCAATCTACATATGAAGCAATTCAACTTTTTCTCATAATGTCATGACTTATCTCTGTTTCTTGGAAGCACTCCATCATCACTAGTGGAATTCCCATGGGTTCCCTGGTACTACTCAAGGTTTACAGTTCATACTAAACACGATTAAAAATACTTAAGAACTGTGAGAGATCACTTTTTACCGCAATAATGCAATTTACCAAAGACACGAAAAGCTCATTTGAGATGATGAGAGTCACAATGCATTTAAAGTGAATACTCGCAACACTTGAGCTCACCATAATAGTAACAGGAGGCAGCTATGAAATTACTGCAGTAGTGCACTATGTATTACAGTTAAGGTTTAATATACTGAATCTTGACATCTGTTGACACTTCTCTTGACTGTGAATGGCACCATGTACATTAAATGTTTTCAAGTATAATGTTTGATACATTTTAACTTATAATTTTTTTGCTATATTTTATGGTAGTAAATGAGAAAACAGGCTAGCATATACATACCTTTTTTGCATTGTATCTAATTTTTCCAATTTTTTTCAACATTTCAGGCTACATGGTTCATCTGTGCATTTTTTCAAATTGTTGCAAATCTCCAAAAAATTTTCCAATAGATTTATTTTTGAAAAAAATCCACTTCAAAAAGTGGACCTGCACAGTTCAAATCTGTGTAGTATGTGCTATGATCAGGGCAAAAGTGTACTTTGGAAGAACATATGTTGTGGGTGGTTAAGATTGGTCTTTTCAGTCAACTAGCCTACCATGGTATTCTCATAAAAAGAACTTAAATTAAGATAATTTGATAATACTACTGAATACACTGATACTACCAAATACTGAATACTACTACTGAATACACACATCAAACTATGAAGATTAATCCTATAAATATTTCTAGCAAAAAAAGCAAAAACAAATCAACCTCAAGATATGTATTCAAAGACAAACAATTTTTAAAACAAAAGGATCCTTAGGTCATTTACACTAACTCCCTGGTTTTGTAAGTGTGGTAATAGATACAGAGAGGTCAGAACTAACTTTCTGAAAAACACAGCTTCTAACTCAGTGCTCTTTCCCAGTTTAATGCCTTTTCAGAACTAAAGTGGCTTACAGAATGATCAGAATAAATCTAATAGGTCAGTAAAAGTTTCAATACTACACACTGATCTATTTGCTATATTAGGTGAACTCATTTGCTTAGTATAAAATGAGCTGAATATTATTGGATACACTTAGCAATAAAAGTCAATGTTAACTTTTTCTGATCATGACACTAATAGCCCAGTATACTTTCAAAAATCTACTTTTCTGTACAGTTTTTCAATACCACACAATTAAGGAAAATGAGAAAGATTCCATGGTTTAATATTACACAAATATAGATTTTAGTTTATATTTAACCTGCTCATTTTTTAAAAATAAAATCTATCAACAGAATTTACACAAAACTTTTATTCCAAGGAATTAATTTCATCAAGTTAATGGGAAATGTTTATGATCTGTGAGTTTACTTGTTGAATAAACGACTAGGGTAATAAAGAATAGGCTATCTGGGAAATAAAAAGCAGCAGGTACCTTAACAAAATGCCAATACTTTTTGTTGGACACAATACTAACAGTATTTCTAGTTTTTTCTTTTCATTTTTGAGACACGGTCTCACTCTGTCACCCAGGCTGGAGTGCAGTGGCGCGATCTCAGCTCACTGCAACTTCTGCCTCCCAGGCTCGATTCTCGTGCCTCAGCCTCCCAAGTAGCTGGGATTACAGGCGACTGCACACTCCCAACTAATTTTTTGTATTTTTAGTAGAGATGCGGTTTCACCATGTTGGCCAGGCTGGTCTTAAACTCCTGACCTCAGGTGATTCACCCACCTCAGCCTCCCAAAGTGTTGAGATTACAGGCATGAGTCACCGCGCCCAGCCCTAGCTTTTTCAATAGCAAATTAGGGTCCACATTTCCATATAGTTTTACTAATATAAGAAAAAAAAAATTAATGGCCCAGAAAACCAGTAATTTATTTTTCATTTCCCGTTTAAAAAAAAAAAAAAAAAACTCTAGGAGTAGTGCAATTATTATTGCTAAAAATATTAAAGGGTTAAGTAACAATAAGGAGCCAACCCAAGGAAGCGGGGCAGAGGGAAGACATGGGGAAAGGGAAACCGGGAGGGAAGGAGAACTGCGAACACAAAAGCGTCTGGATAATTTCTTATGAGATGTCACCCTCCAAAATCCCTTTTAATGTCTATCTAAGGACCCCTAAATATGAACTTTACGTTTTTATTATCTTAGAAATATCAGGTGTTTTAAATTTTATGCTTAAATAAAATTTCTAACAACCAATAACCTATTCCTCATAAACATACAATAACTTAAAATAAACTGACAAAAAAGGACAAGGCCCAAATCTAAGGTCTGGAAATTACTTACTGCAGGTACCAATAATTTCTTCACTTCTTCAACTGCTCTCTTCAATTTGATTTCTGCTCTGTTCTGAGCATCTTCCACAGTGATTAGTACATGTAAATCTTCATTTAGATGCTCCCAATTGGGCTTGCCTCTATTTTGCTCCTCCTAAAAAATTTACAGAGTACACAATTAAAATTTTTCTCTTTAAAGAGAGTACATCTTTCATAATACTAACCTGTTGTCGATTATTTAAGCTGTGTTTGCATTATTTTGCTATGATGGCATTACAAGTCTTGGAATTATTTTCCTGGGTCCTCAAAGCTTGGGTGAATGTGATACTACTGGGTCAAATGATAATTAATTCAACAAGTATTTGCTGAGCACGTACTTTCTACCAGGCACAGAACCAAATGCTACAAGATCAGCCCCTAGCATGCTCCTATGCACTAAGAAACATAGATCTGATACTGTCCTTACATTACCATGAAAAACACTTTGAGAAACATATCATTATTTCTGCATTTTACTTATGAGTAAACAGAAGGTCATCAAGGTTGGGGGGTTACTTCTCAATGTCACACAGCTAACAGGCTGTCAATTTAGGAGCTGAATCAAAGTTTTCCTTCTCCAATTCAGTGATCTTTCCACTTCATTACAACTGTTTTTAATGATATTGGTCGTCTTCAGCATTAGAAAAGGTATTTTGCGTATAGATGTTATTGTGTAAGATGACTGCCACTTGTTTTAAGTACTTCATATGGTAATTATGAAAATAGTTTTATCTACATTCCCATCAGACCATACTTTAAAATTAACTGTAAGGCTACTCTTTAATTATATCAAGTCATAAACACTAGTTTCATAGAGAATATCTGTATTTCATTTTCTTAATGTCTTCTAGTAAGAAATATCCCCATGTTGAAAACCTGGTCAAGCTACAGGGAGGTTAAATAGAGTTGGTCATAATTTCAGAATCGCTGTTTTAAGAGAAAGTGTTTTTAAATAAAATAAGAATATAAGTAGTATATAAACGGCATATATAAATGCACCTGGCACAGAGCAAGGTACCAGACAAACAATAAATATCTGCTGTTGTTGGACCTTTATTTTAGAAGTTACCATTTACCTAATTGCTAGATTCCAATAAAAGAAAATAAAGCAGGCATAATAAAACTGCTTTCTGCAACAATTCACATAGATTTTAACAGTAAATGCTTCTGCTTTATTTTTAATTAATACATCTTTAGGATGAAAATGTAGCCACATTTTTTTTTTTTTTTTTTGAGACGGAGTCTCGCGCTGTGTCACCCAGGCTGGAGTGCAGTGGCCTGATCTCAGCTCACTGCAAGCTCCGCCTCCCAGGTTCACGCCATTCTCCTGCCTCAGCCTCCGAGTAGCTGGGACTACAGGCGCCCGCCACCTCGCCCGGCTAGTTTTTTGTATTTTTAGTAGAGACGGGGTTTCACCATGTTAGCCAGGATGGTCTCGATCTCCTGACCTCGTGATCCACCCGCCTCGGCCTCCCAAAGTGCTGGGATTACAGGCTTGAGCCACCGCGCCCGGCCAGTAGCCACATATTTTAAGGGAATACAGAAAAAAAAAAAAATCAGACACAATCCTATGCTGGGCCGTCTATGTATTTCCAAAGAGTGAACTCTGAGTCAGCACAGTATTTTACAGGGGTACCATCCGTCCAACACTATGTGAACTACCAGCTCAGAATATCTGACTGTTTCAATATAAGGTCACATTACATTCTTTTTGATGATGTCATATCTTTACAAAGCTAGGCTTTAGCGGTTGCTGTAACAAAAATCAAGTCCATACAAAAATCCATGTGGAATAAGAAAAGTGGGTGGCAGTATAAAAATCTGATTCCAAAGTTTGAGAATTTAAACAGCACTCAAGAAAATACAAATGCTATTAGTAAAAATGTGGTTATTTACAAATAAAATGTATAGCGTGTTTCAACTATTTTTAATATAAATACTAATTGTTTGTAGAGTAAATATTTAATAAACATAATTCTGAAATATTTATTTTTGACTAGGGTACACCAAGCAAACTAACGGGGAAACCAAGGAGTCAATGAATCAAGAAATTGGAAACCTTGGGGTTATCCGTATGGCAAGAAATAAAATGTGTATTAATATCTCTACTGTGGCAAGAAAAATTAGTTTTGTTATCCAGATTTCAATTGTTATGTTCAAGAATGCTAACAGTACTTTCTCACCAAAATTCGTATTTCTATTTATTTATTTATTTTATTATTATTATTATTATTTTTGGAGAGAGACCTACAAAAGCTACTAGTCTGGCATTATTTGGTGGGCCTAGAAGTGCACCTATCTGCCTAAATGCATATGTATGAGGGACTTCTGCTTCCAGGCAAGATACAGTAACAGGAACCAGATTCACCTTCCTGCTGAAACAACCAAAAAACTGGCAAAACACATAAACAAATTTCAAGCCACTGGACATCAAACAACTAAGGACAAATGATGCAAAGAGTTGGGAAAAACTGAGGTAAGTCTACGACTGTCCCCACTCACTGGCTTGAGAGTCTCCAGACAACTCCACGAGGAGACTAAACAAGAGGGGGAAACCGAGGCAGCCAGAGCTCACAGGGTCCTGGAAGAGCTGCCACTCAAATATTCAGCTGAACACTGATCATTGCATACTCAAGAGGAAATTCCAGAGGCCAGGGAAGGAACCACCCACAAGGATTCCAGGTCAAAGTGCCTGGCTCTAGAAAAGAACAAGACTGAAAGACTTGAATGATTCCCCGTGGGTAAGGTACACAGAAAGGTCTTGCCTCAGTGGTAGGAAATAACTAAACCTAATCTGAGCATTGTTCCAGTACAACTAAATACATTTTAAAAGTAAGACCAAATGCCTCAAATTATTTCCAACTAACTTAAATGTGTCCCAGGACAAAGCTCAAAGATATTTACACGAATATAAAAATATCCATCCAACAACGTAAAAGTCTGGCATACAATTAGAAATTAACAGGCATGCAAAGCAGCAAGAAAAATACAATACATAATGAGACCGTCCCTCCCACCAATCAAGCCACTCAAACCAATCTAGAAGTGATACAGATGTTATTACAAAGACATTAAAAGCTCTATGTGTGTGTCAAACACTGATGCATATAAACACTAATACAATGAAAATGGAGGAACATTTATAATAAAATATATTTGAGAAAAACTTAAGAATAAAAACTAAAATTGTGACTTGCCACAGAAACCTTTATACATGGAGAAAAGCCAGAGAATTTAAAAGGAATAATTATTTTCATGATAGAAACAAAGTTGCAGTATTTGCCATTTTGCTTTACTGCAGGAATACATTTTTAAGGTGTAAAACACCTTGGCCAATGCATATTCTTATTAACTCAACAACTTAAATGATAATTAAAAATATAAAAACAGGAGAAAGCTACATCTACCCTGTTGGCTTCAAACTAAACATTTTTGCTTACACTTTTAAAAACAATTGAAAGAGCAAAAACTTTCAAAGATGGAGAAATTAATGGGAATTGTGTACTTCCACTCCCACCAAAAATTTTTCTACAACACTGTAGAGTTTAATATGTACAAACTCGGCCAGGCACGGTGGCTCATGCCTGTAACCCCAGTACTTTGCGGGGCCGAGGCAGGAGGACTGCTTGAGCCCAGGAGTTCAAGGCCAGCCTGGGAAACACAGTGAGACCCTGTGTCTATTATAAATAAATAAGATGTCCAAATTCATAAGAAATAAGAAAATGGGAAAGGAAACCATTTAAAAATTAAGAATCTAGAAAGCAGATGGTTAACTTAAAATTTAGCAGACTTTAGTTAAGAAACTTATTTCCTTGCAATCCCCCAATCCCCCCAAAAATATGGAGGAAATGGGCAGCAGTGAAAATCGGGGTGAGGGTGGGGCTGAGATTGCAGGACTAGATGAACTCTCATTGAAACAGCAGCTCAATCCCCATATCCCCTATCCACATATGGCTAGCTATCAAGCACCCCCTAATTCCCAGCAACAGACCAGAAACTGATTCCAAAAGGAAGTAAAACACTTGCTGAAACTGCATTAGAAGAACAGTTGACAGGGTAACTTCCACACTGATGGCTGGGCTGGCCGGCCATCTCCCCTGCTCCACATGCAGAGCAAGGGAACCCAGGCCCACATCTTGGGGACAGGAGACTTGAACAACTGACCCTGGCTTCAGAGAGTTAAGAAAAAACACTACAATGCTGAAACAAGTAAAGAATGCTCTATTTAAAAATTCTGAATACAAATAGAAACTCCTGTAACTAAAAATATGAGAGAAAAGATGAAACACTTGATAGAAAGTTGGAAGACAAACTGAGGAACTCTCCCTCTAAGTAGCAAAAGACAGAGAGAAAAAAAAATGGTGCAGAACCGTGTAATAGTAGAGGACTAGTCCAAGAGGTTCAGAAACTGAAATGACAGATGTCCAACTACCAATATAAAGAAAAAGAAAGCAGAGGGAGAAAAATCATCAATGTTACACATTTTACGCAAAACTGAGGGATCTGAGCTTCCAGACGAAAAGGACCCCGAGTTTTCACCACAAGGAATAAATGAAGTGGACACTTCAAAATCAAACAATGTAGCAACTGAAAGTAAACACTAAAAGCACCTCTTTTAGTGTTTTGGAGGGTGTGAGGTGTGAAGAGAGAGACTGACCAACCCCTGTTTTCCAAATCAGGCCTCAGAAAATCTTTCATCCCCATGCAAGTGTCACACAAAAAAAGGCTTTGAGGTCATGCTACCCAGAAGCCACATTTATTCTACTGTAGTCCATTCCAGCTCAAGAAGAGTTAAAGTAAATTCCTTCAGTGAATTTGGAGCTTAGTAATTACTTAATACAAACACTATTTCTCCCTGTGATTTCATTCTGTTTCTAAAGCAGATTATAAAGGCAATCTGGGATTGGCAAATTTTATAGACAAATCAATAAAACACACCCCAAAATGTCCTCTTTTAGTCATAAAGTAAGTATAGATACAATTATAGGATGGTTACTTCTGAACTCAAAATATCCATAGTAACAATCCACTCGCAAAACCCATTTTCTCACTTTAATATATAAATCAGCACACAGAAAAGGTTGAAATAAGCAGACAGGAGGGATGACAATATGG